CCAGAGACTGGAGCTGGAGTCAAAATGAATGGAGGTGCTAACAAAGGGGAGAACTGCACTTTAACCACTGAAGCACTGGAGCTGAAAGACAGTGCAGTTTACTTCTGTGCTGCTAGTTTACACAGTGTCACACATCACTGCTCCTCAGTACAAAAACCTCATCATCACACCCTAGTCATCAGTCATCAGACTCTGCTCCTTATAGAAGTATCTGGGATATATGTATGGAAAGACTGCCACCCCAGAGACTGGAGCTGGAGTCAAAATGAATGGAGGTGCTAACAAAGGGGAGAACTGCACTTTAACCACTGAAGCACTGGAGCTGAAAGACAGTGCAGTTTACTTCTGTGCTGCTAGTTTACACAGTGTCACACATCACTGCTCCTCAGTACAAAAACCTCATTCTCTCCCCAGACTCTAACTCATGGTTCTTACATCTACAAGATGGCAGTATATGAATAAAGATCTACATTAGGTCACAGTAACCAGAACCCAACTACATATTGATAACTTTACTCGTCAAAGTTTACAGCAGGAGGTCGCTCTTAGCATTTATTTCATCAGACTATGACCTCTTACAGTGGCTCCTTGCTTCCATTAGGTGGCAGTAACATATATTGATGTTGTTCAATACCAACAGTGTGTCAAACTGAAGGTACACGTTAACACCCACAACTCCACCCAACTACACAAGTCTTTCTCATGATTGGAATTGTCACTTGTATCAGTTGTTGAATGTCATCGCTGTAAAGGCTGAGGCACTGATGACAATGACCTGAAGCAACAACAACAAATAAACAACCAACAAACATCCAGAGAAACTGACAACATGAGTCTCCTGCTTCCTGTTCTACTGTGTGTGATCACTAACACTGTTCTGGTTTCAGGTAAATCCATGATCATCACTTTTTAAAATGAAATGTAAAAGATGCTACAACTTTTAATCACTGCTTGAATATTGATAGTCTTTAATGATTCTTCTCCACAGGTTCCTCTCTAAGTGATAAAGTGCACCAGACTCCAGCTGACATGTACAAGAACAAAGACAAAAATGAAACTGCTGAAATCATCTGTTCACATAGTATTGACAGTTATAACAGAATCCTCTGGTACAAACAGTCAGATGATGGACAACTGAGGTATCTGGGATATATGTATGGAAAGACTGCCACCCCAGAGACTGGAGCTGGAGTCAAAATGAATGGAGATGCTAACAAAGGGAAGAACTGCACTTTAACCACTGAAGCACTGGAGCTGAAAGACAGTGCAGTTTACTTCTGTGCTGCTAGTTTACACAGTGTCACACATCACTGCTCCTCAGTACAAAAACCTCATCATCACACTCTAGTCATCAGTCATCAGACTCTGCTCCTTATATCCATTAGGTGGCAGTAACATATAATGATGTCGTTCAATACCAACAGTGTGTCAAACTGAAGGTACACGTTAACACCCACAACTCCACCCAGCTACACAAGTCTTTCTCATGATTGGAATTGTCACTTGTATCAGTTGTTGAATGTCATCGCTGTAAAGGCTGAGGCACTGATGACAATGACCTGAAGCAACAACAACAAATAAACAACCAACAAACATCCAGAGAAACTGACAACATGAGTCTCCTGCTTCCTGTTCTACTGTGTGTGATCACTAACACTGTTCTGGTTTCAGGTAAATCCATGATCATCACTTTTTAAAATGAAATGTAAAAGATGCTACAACTTTTAATCACTGCTTGAATATTGATAGTCTTTAATGATTCTTCTCCACAGGTTCCTCTCTAAGTGATAAAGTGCGCCAGACTCCAGCTGACATGTACAAGAACAAAGACAAAAATGAAACTGCTGAAATCATCTGTTCACATAGTATTGACAGTTATAACAGAATCCTCTGGTACAAACAGTCAGACGATGGACAACTGAGGTATCTGGGATATATGGTAGGTAACACTGCCAACCCAGAGACTGGAGCTGGAGTCAAAATGAATGGAGGTGCTAACAAAGGGGAGAACTGCACTTTAACCACTGAAGCACTGGAGCTGAAAGACAGTGCAGTTTACTTCTGTGCTGCTAGTTTACACAGTGTCACACATCACTGCTCCTCAGTACAAAATCCTCATCATCACACCCTAGTCATCAGTCAAAAACCATTCACACCACAGTACCCAAAGTTGATGATGTCACGTCTCCACCCCTCTGATCACATAGGTCTTGCTTTAACACTCAGTGATCATTTCTGCTGGAGTTATTCCAATGGCCCAACGTGTCATCATTATCACTCTCTTATCCCTGGGGTTTCAAGGTAAATGAACAATAATCATCTGCAGTGTGAGAGTCTTTTCTGTATTTCCAAAAGGATACGTAGTTTAATATCAGAATGGATTGGAATAGAATAGTCTAGACGCACAAAGAGATAGTTACCTGAGTAAAAATATGATTAAATGTTGGATTTCTCTACACAGTTCACTGCCAGTATGTGACCCAACACCCTGCCATAGGTTGGAGTTCTGTCTCCGGTTCAGTAGAGATGAACTGTAGCCACAACAGAGATGCGGGTCACACCCAGATGTACTGGTACAGACAGCCTCCCGGGCAGACCATGACCCTAGTTGTCTACACGATTTACAGAGGACAGACAGATTATGGAAAAGAAGTAAATAAAGCCAAGTACACGGCCGTCAAAGACACCGTGGAGACTGGAGCTTTAACTGTGAGAAACTTGAAGCCAGAAGACAGCGGCACATATTTTTGTGCTGTGAGTAAACACAGTGATGTAAGACGTAAGGTCTGCTTAACAAAAACTGATGCTGCCATTAAATATCAGCTAATGATGTAAAGGGGGGCTTTACATTTTACATCTCTCCAGTAGGTGGAGCTGCAAATCCAGAAATAATAAAACAGTATAGGTCTGAAAGAGCAGTATAACAGAGTAGAGAGGAGGGTTTTTATATATATTTATATTATAATTCTAGTTCTGACTCCAAAACTTTGAGAATTTATTTGGAAAGAACAATGAGAGAAAGAAAGCAACTATTTACACATTTACAAGTTAGCACATGATCAGATGATCACTTATCAAACCCCATCCCTTCTACCATATTTATATTGTATGTTTATCATAGTTCAATGACACATTATTTATACTAATACTACTTTGATAATAGTAATAGTTTTTGTTATATTAACATGAAACATATGCGTCATTTAGAAATAAACTAAAAATGAATGAAAAATGACAAAAATTATAAAAAAATAAAGAAAACCAATTTAAATTTAACAAAATTGAAGAAAATAAATGGACACTGAATCAAAATAATAACTACAATAATATATTGTCAATAAGGTGATAAGTTAATAATCTCATCCCTTTATACCATCAAAATAGGTTCTTCAATTTTTTTTTTTGTTGTTTTTTTTGTTTGTTTGTTCATTTGTTTCCACACTTTTAAACAATGGTTCATACAATTCCATGGTTTTAAACCACACAATGAAATACAGAATTTTAATGATTGTTTGTTTTAATTCTCTTCCCTCCTGTTTGATAACTCTGTTCCCCTTGTGGCTAAACATCATGAATATTTTGTGCTCGTTGGTTGGTGATCTGTGCTCCAATCAATACAATAGCTTACAGTTGCTATGACAGAAAACCCTCCCTTACCTGTTAAAGGGCAAGTCAACTGTTAATATCATTGATGCCAAGAGTCAGTGTGACCTGAACAGAGAAATACTTCTAAAAAAAAATGCAGCCCAGGTTTACTGATGAAGGAGCCAAAGTGTCATTTTTTCTATTTTGCTACAGTTTGACCAGTAACAACTTTTTATATTTTAATTTATCATGTCATTCAAAAAACTGAAAAAATGTGGAAATGTTTTTCTATAACTGATGTTGTTTCTTGTTGTCCAGGTATTCATAGTTTTGAAATAGATCAGGTGACGGCTGACCTCTTCAAAAATCCTGGTGATAGGGTACAGATTTTCTGTTTCCACCAACAGAAGAATGCTGTGATTTTACAGTGGTTCCAGGATTTACCCAGAGACCCAGGTTTGAAATTAATTGGAGAAATGGACTTTGACATCATCAGGATAGAGGAACCTTACAAAAAGGACTTCAATATCTCTGGAAGTTTTAACCAGGACTTTGGATCAAATGTCTCACTGTTAATTAACTATGCAAAGAAACACCACAGTGCAATTTACTACTGTGCACCACAGTGTCATTAAGTTGTCACCTTTGAAACAAAAACCCCTTCAGCTGATCAAGGTCTGATAATGAACATGCAGAACAGACACCCTCCCTCTCCTGTCTTTGTCTGCGTCAGTTCTGCTGTTGCCAAGTGAAAAAGCCTGAGCTCGCATAGACAGAATCTGACAAAAATAAATAAATGAAAATCATATCAGACATGTTGACTAACCTTATTAAGGAGGAAACCACAAAGAAACTGTTTTTGATTCCCTACGTACTAACAGGTAAAAATATCTTGAATTCTAGTTGGTACTCAAATGATTTTTAACAATAATAATTTGTCCTTGAAATAACATCTATGTTTTCTTTTTTCTAGCGGTTTGTCTGGGTGAACATCAGCAGGTACCTGATCTTTTAAGAACTCCTGGCGAGAAGGTGCAGGTTTTATGCATCCCTACCAGAAATGACATTTTGTATTTTCTTTGGTACCAGCACTCACCAGGGGACAAGACCATGAAAGTCATTGGGGACATAGACTTTCACACTGTCAGAATGCACGAGACATTCAGCAAGTACTTTAACATTTCTGCAAAATTCAGTTTCAGAGGAGTCACCATCTCCCTTGTACTGCAACCTGCAGCAAAACAGCACAGTGCTGTTTATTACTGTGCATCAAGTGGGGCACACTGAGGAAAGAAAGCTGCACAGTTGAACAAAATGTCCCTTCCACAGATGGTGGGTCTAAGTTACAGTACATGCTACAGAAAGAACTGCTAAGAGATGAGTTCAAGCCAGGACAAAACAAATCTTTGGCCTTATAACCTGAGGAATTTTACATTAACTATCTTTCCCATTAAGACCTAAATTAAAAACACAACTAAATAAAGAATAAG